TATTGTACTTTGTTCTCTTGCTCTTTCTGAGCTCAGCTCCTCCTATGCTCCCCTCCCCCACCCTGCAGGGAGCTGGGGGCCCCGGAGCTGGTCTCCGTCCTGCAGAGACTCTGCTTGTTCCTCTAACTCCCTGGCTTCTCACAGCATCCAGGAGAGGAGGGTAGCACAGGCTAAATCATCCCACTTTACAGACAAAGATGCCAAGGCAGGGGCGGGCCTGGAAAGAATGAGGGCCACACCCCAGGTCTTCTCCTCCTGTCTGGGCTTCTACTGTGAGAACACAGCTTCTAGGACCCCAAAGGCAGGGGACACTAGAAGAAAGCAGTGCAGGTCATCGGGGGTCAGAGGACCCAGGTGTTCATTGGGTTTGGGCCACTGGTCATGTGTGACCTCAGGCAGGTCTTGAGTCTCTGGCCCTGGGTCCCTCCCACACAACCTGGAATAGGTTTGTTTGTCTCGTGGGGGGAGAGGGAGGATGTCACTGTGGGAAGCTGGGCATAGGAGCCCTCACGGAAGCAAATCATGGTGCGTTACGCTCCTGCCCCTCCCTCTCACTGGGTGAGGGAAGGGAAGCAAAGGCCAGGACCCCAAAGGCTTCTGGAAGGGCTGAGTGGGGATCCCCCCACTGGGTGGAGGCCAAAAAACATCAATACTTTAACTCTCACCTTCTAAGATCTTCCTGGCTGGGCTAATAACCCAGTTAACAGGAGAAAATCAAAGTTTAATACACACACAGGGGGAATTCACTTAGGCACAAAAAGTGCATGAAAATTCAGAGAAGCAACACTGGGTGTATGAGACATGTTTGGACAAAGGAGAAAGCGGGGGACAGGGTGTTAGATTTGAGAAGTGAGAATTGGCCATTTGCAGGTAGTTGAGGGAGCGTGGACCGCACAATGCAGGTCAGTCTTTGCTAGGGGACTCAGAGATAATGGGACGGGGTATCTAGCTGGCAGACCACTGCCTGAACCCTCTGTTTACCATACTTAATTCAAGTTAGGCATAAGGGGCCTCCTAGACTCTCCTCCCTGACGCAGGTTTGTCTGCCTGAATCTCTTGGGCAGAAAAGCGGTGTGGGTCAAAGTTCTTTCTGAGTTTCGTTTAACAGCTTAACATCAATATTCCAAAAAGCAGCTTCATGATGGCAGAATTTTGATCCCTTCAACCACAGTGAAGAGAGGGCAGTGGTGATGGCCAGCCACAGGTGGGGGGCTGGGGCCAGTGGGAAGCAGCCCCAGGGAGGGTAGCAATCTTGTCTCCCAGAGGCACGGAGCAGTGCACATCCAGGCCCTTGGAAAAACTGGCCTCGTGGCCCTGATGCACGGGGGTTGGACCAGAGAAGGTGACCACGCCCTCGGCTCCACGAGCTGGAGGTGAAGTCTTGCTGATACAGGACAAAGAGATTGTCTACTCTGAAGGCCCGTGGACCCAGCAGAAACAGAGGCCTGGGGTAGGAAGAAAGGCTTTCCTTATGGCACTGGAGGCTGTGCCTAAAGGGATATATCCAGGCTTTGGTCAAGGTTGGAGTGAGTCTGGGATCAAGGCCAGGGTTGTAGTGCCTCTAGGTGGGATTCAGCCTACCATCCAGGCTGAGCTCAGTAGGGGTGATATAGATGCAACAACTGTGTCTACACCAGAGGTCACTGGGGATGAGTGTTAACGTGCAGGGAAGAGTCACCAGAAGTAAAAAACAAAACCAATAACCAGGATATTTATCCAAAGAAGCCCTTTGTGGCCTCTGTGGGCCCTGATGGGAGGCACGTACCACAGTGAGGGGAAGCAGAGCGGGGACCTGAAGCCCTGGTTTGCCTGAATGACTCCGAAAGGAGCAATCTTGTGTGTGTGTGTGTGTGTGTGTGTGTGTGTGTGTGTGTTCTCACTGCCTTTCAGGGAACATAGTGAGAACCTGAAGGCTGAGTGAGTGTTGAGAGCGGGGGTAGAAAGTGGGGGGCGAGGAGCAGTTGGAGAGGCAGGGATGTGGTGGAGGAGCAGGGAGAGCAAGAAAGTCAGGGAACAGATGAGACAGCAGAGGGACAGAGAGCAAGAGAGACCCAGAGAGGACTAGAGAGACAGGGACACACACGTACACACACCCAGCAGAGAGCCAGAGAGACTTGAAAGAGAGCCAGTGACCCAGGAGAGAGAGAGAAGACCAGAGAAAGCACGGAGGACCTGCATGGGCACAGAGATCCTGAGGGGCAGGACCCAGAGAAAGAAAGAGAAACCCAGAGAGCGAGAGAGATCAAGAAAGACACATCCACCCAGTGCGAGGAGAGAGACAGAGGCTGGGATGGAGAGAGGAAGAGCAAAGAGTATGGAGCACCATCGAGACCCGCCCAGAGAGAGGGACAGGTGTGGCCGAGGGCACTGGGAGCCCGAGAGACAGACATCTAAGGACCAGGAGGAACAGAGATCAATGGAAAGGGATTCGGCGAGATCAGGTCTGAGTGGGACAGGGCCAGACGTCCAGCATAGAGGAACACGGCAGGAGTTGGAGAGGACACAGTTACTAGAAAGACAGACAAAAGACCAAAAGGGAAAGATGGAGGAGGGTCATGCACAAGACTAGAAAGAGAGGGAGGAGGCCGAGGAGGGTGCCAAGCGGGCGTGCTCCGACCCCAGAGCCTGGGCGAGCCTCGGGGTTCTGATTGCCGCACACAAGGAATGGGGCCACACACTGTGGAAAAAACCCGAGAGCTCGGCTGTGTGAGCACCTGTGGAACACCTGCTGCATGCAGGCACGGGGCCAGGACTCCCCACATCCTCATCTTTCTGCATCTCTTACTTACTGTCATGTCTTTTCACAAAACCGTGTTCCTCCAGGACAGAGGTGCTGTCTCATGGCACACCCTAAGTGCTCAGGAATCCATTCAGTGTTGAATGAGCATGTGGGCAACTGAGTGCTTGTGTGTCTGAGCCAGGAGACACAGGCACTCAAAGTGGGCTACAGCAGACCCTGATCACCCGACTCTGGAGCTGGGGCAGGCTGGTGTGGGGGCAGACCACAGCACAAGTGGTGAGCGTGGGGACATAGCACCCCATGCTGTGGTGGTGGGACCATCTCTCCATGAGCTGTTACCCAGCTCTGCGCTCTCATTGTGTGCCAGTCATGCTTGGAAACACCTGACCATCACTGTCTCATTGAAGCCTCACAGCAATCCCATGATGTCGTCATGACTGTGATATCATTTTATAGATGAGGAAGCTGAGGCTCAGAAAGCCGAAGTTACTGTCAAAGGTCAGATACCTCGCAGGATTGAAAAGAGTCCACGTAACGCCAGAAGTGAGCGCTCACCGTTTCATGACCCTGCTTCCCTCAGAGAAATACTACCTGATATGTGTTCATGGCAGTTTGGCTTGCGGAGCTTTTGCAAATGTAGTATATAATTGTCCTCAAGGCGGCTTGCTAGAAAGAGTCTGAGAACCAGAGTTGCTATCCCCATTTAAGAGATAAAAAAGGAAGAGTTGAGGGATGTCTGCAAAGTACAGGCACACATGTAGCCAGCTCTGGACTAGAACCGGGCAGGGCTCTGCCCAGAACACAGTGCTGCTAAGAGGTGTATACTGGTGCCCAGAAGGAACACACCACACTGAGTGTATTGTCTGGGTATGAGTGGTGCCTGGCTGCAGTACTGGGCAGCCAACACAGGATGCACAGGGAAGGTCTTCAGGGGAACAAGATTTAAGGGCTCTTGAAATAGTATATCTGGATTTAGATCCTGTTTCTAGACAGTGACATTGGGCAAATTTCTGAATTACTCCATACCTAAAATGGAGATAATAATAACTGTACTTTTCCGGTATTTTATGAGAATTAAATAAATTAATATTTTAAAAAACTCTTATAACAGTCTCAGTGCACAGTAAGGATTTTATGTGTTGTTAAACAAATCAAATACATAAATGAAATAAGGCAGGAATCATGGTCATCATCGAGACCCCCAGCCAGAAATGGGTCCTGGATTAATGTACTGAGTGCTAGAGAAATTCAGAACGCTGGACAGCTCCATGAGCCCCAGATCCACCATATTGGTTCCACCTGCTCTGTAAAGTGCTTTGGCAGTGAAGTGGGTCTCATCCCCTTATTTTTGGTTATCATGGGCTTGAGGATTCTCCTTGCCACTCTTTAATGTCTATTCTGTGAGGGAGGACACAAAGCTCTTTATCAGGAAGGCCCTTCAAAGAGAGAGGGGATACATTCCTGTGGGATTGTTCTTGAGGAAATGCCCCTTTCTTGGATGAGGGACTATACCAGATGTGTGGGCCCCAGGGGCTTGTGTTCAGTGTGGTTAGGGAATGTGGCCCCATTGATTTCTCTCAGAGTACTCTCTAAGCTCCGACTGGGGAAGAGCAAGGGTTGCGACAGGGTTGCCAGGAGGTTTAGTGATGGGGAATGAAGGGATTTAAGTTCATAAGGTTGTGATGTGGGTAAGGGTTTCACACAACTCAAGGCTTGCTTAGTGCCAGAGGTCTTCTGCTCTTCTAGTTACTCCAGAGCTGCCCCTGCCTACTCAAGTCCTGGTCCACTCAAATACTAACAGCAACTACTTCTCATGTGAAGACATAACTGTGACATCTCTCGTTGATGACCACACTCTATGCACTGAGACCTCTACACCCATCATTTTTCTTAGTCCTCACAACAACTCTGTGAGTGAGACATTTCTGGTCCCATGTTATTGATGGAAAAACTGAAGCTCAGAAAGCAAGTAACTTACCCACAGCCTAGCAGTGGCAAGGCTGTTGTGTTCTTTCCCCCCCAAACACACTTCTTCTCAAGAAATATTGCTCTTGGGGTCAGGAATGGAGCCTTCTATGGATTTTCAGCCTCTCTTGTGACTTTTTTTGCAATGAAAAACTCCGTGAATATCTCATACCTGTTATAATTACAGACACTTCAACTCAAAGAAAGGAATAAGTACTCCCTCAGATGTAAGCTCCTGTTAGCGCTACCTGTACCCAGCCCTCCCTGCTCATGCCCATCTCTACTCCTTCCACAGAGGAGGTGGCTGAAGGGAAGAATGCCATTCTCATCGGGATGAGCCAGTGGAACTCAAACGACCTGGTGGAGCAGATCGAGACCATGGGCAGACTGGAGGAGCACCAAGGTGAGGCTGCTGCTCTCGAGCGGGGGTGCACATGGCGCTGCAGGCCGGGCAGAGGGCTGGCAATTTGGGGTAGGACGTGGTCTTCTAGGAGGAGTCATTTGTCTGTCTGGACACCTCCACTTCCTGAGCCTGTGACCCCTGGATTCTTGGACCTGCAGGAACCCTCATGGGGACTTCTGCGGGGTTTTCCAGAGAGTACTTCAGCAGAGTGTCCTTAGTCCCCAGGAGCATGGGTACCTAAGGCAGGTGGCAGGGTCCGAGCTCCTTGGACTGCCAGGCCTATGGTGTCAGAATCTGTTTGATAAAGTAGGGTAGCAACTGGAGAAGCCTTTGAGAGGGAACAGGGGAGGGGGGCAGGAGTGGGAGTTGAACTTTTTGGCTGAGTTGTTAAAGAAGGAGTGTGTGGCTGGGCATGAATCCAGGAGGCTTTTTATGGAGAAGAGTTTTGACCAGGAGCTTAATCAGCAGACAAAGCAGGCATATCCTTTCAGGCATCCATCCATCTGTCCATAGGACCACATTGCATCACTGACAGAATGTTTGTCAAGCATCTTCTGTGTACAGAGTGCTGCTAGGAAGGACCAAAGGTGACTCAACTGAGTCCTCTGACTTGTGATGCATCTCACAGTATAAGTCAAGACATGAGGGAGGCAGGCTTGAGCGGAGGGTGGTTGGGCTCAGAAGGGAGAGGCAGGAATTTTAGAAGGAGGCAGGAGAGGGGGGCTCAAGGAAGGGTCCCTGATGATGAAGCGATGGAACCAGGCTTTGAGAGGCAAGTGGAGGATGCAGCTGAGGCCATACAATCTGAGATGACGTATGGGGAAACCAAGGCTCGGAGAGGAGCTGCACAGGATTCAAGTGCAATTGGAGTGAGGAACAGAGCTGGGGTCTAGCATGCTAACCTCTGTATCTGTTATCCTGAGGCCCGTGTTTTCTATCCCTCCTCCCACCCCATGTCTCACTCCTCCTTCCCCTCTTCCTCATCTCCTCTTTCCTCCCTCTCCTGGCCTTGTCATTCCTCAGGTACGGTCTGGGCCAGAGCTCCTCGCCTGGGTAAGGCCGTGCTTTCAGGAGCTGTTCGGTGAGATGGTCCCGACCCAGCCCAGGAGAGACACGTCTTGATACTGGCCATCTCGGTGGTGGCTGTCTTGCCTGTAGCCTCGGCTCCTTTCCTTGCTCCCATCCTGCCCCCTCAGTTTCGAGCCCTCCCCATGCCAGAGTACCCATCCTGAGAGATGGATGGGCCTGGGATGACTGTTCAATCTTACAAATGAAGAAAGCCAAGGCTCAGAGAAGCTCTGTCTTGCCCAAGGTCCTCCAAGTTGATGACAGCCTCATGCTCAGATTTCTGGTCTCTGGATTTCCAGACCAGGAATTTACCTCCCAAATTGGACTAAGGCCAGGCATAGTCCTGGGCCCCTGCAAAGTCAGGTCCATGAAATCCAGAGTCTTGAAGAATAGTCCCTCCCCCAGGCCACTGTGACATTCATAAGAAGACAGACTCTGAGTCAGGTCCTCCAGGCCAGTCCAGGGGTAAGTTCCCAGTCTGCACACATTTGTAGAAGGACCCTTACCTGCTCTTTCATCCACTCATGAACCCTGGAAGGGCCCAGAATGGGTCATGGTTTCCAGCTGCTTCCCCAAGACAATGCTTGGTAGCCATGAAAAGACAAACCCAGACTTGTACTCAACACCCATCTGGCCATCCATTTTCCACCACCACCCTCACTTGTCTGCCAAAAGCTGTGTGACTCAGACACAGCATGAGCTAGGGAGTGGGTGCTCGAGAGGCAGTGTAACTGGGAGGGCAGGGGAGAAGGAAGCAGAGGGGGGATTGGTGGGAGAGGCTGGAACTGCAGCTTTGGCATCTAAGAGGTCTGGGTTTGAATCTTGGCCCTGCCAGTCTGAGGCTTTGTGACCAGGGAGAGTCATACCATCTCACTGAGCCTCAGTTCCTTCATCTGCAGAGTGGGGCTAGTGAAAAAGCTGCAAGGATTAAATGAGCTAATACTTGCAAAGTGCATTCATTAATGGGTCATTCTAGCTGGACGAGGGAGAGAAGAGTGAAAGATGGTGCACAAGTCAATTCTCACAGCTTCACAGTACTCGTGAGAGGCTGAGTTAGGGGCCATGCTTTCTTGGGTCTAGAATTGATGCTGTTTCCTCCCGGTACAGAATAGAGAGCAAGAGGGAGAGAGAGAGAGAGAAGAGGGAACCAGCCGTGTTTCCAGCTCCTTCTGAGTCTCATTTCCCGGGAGATTCATAATGTGAATTCCCACAACACGACAGAACACATGCACATTAATTCTATTCATGTCAACCGTCGTTTATGGAGCCATGACAGAGGTTCAACCCTGTGCTAGAAGTGGGGGAGTAAGCAGCAGCAGGCTGGGATTGGCACTGTTTTAGGGGTTCACAGCAGAGGGGAAGACTATGCAATAAGACAGGCTGAGTAGGGGGCCATAGGAGAGGCTCTGGGGACTCTTTTGGGGAGAGGAAAGCCTGGAGACACTCCATGGGAAAGGCAAAAATCAAAATTGGTGGTATTGATAAAGATCTACTCCTGCCTCCTTCAATTTTCCATTCCTGAAACCTGGGGCTTGATCCCCTTTCGTTGCTCATGCTGTGGCCCGTCGCAGCTGCCTTTGGTGATGACCTCCAAGTTCACCTTCTGCCAAGACCCCTCTCCTGGGCTCTACACTTAGATTTTCAGGACCCTCCTTCTTCCCTCTACCTGGATGTTCTGAAGACTCTTCATGCTCTGCAAGTTCCAAATGGAGCCGATCTTCTTCCTCTTCCATCTTTTTTTTTTTTTTTTAAATCTTTATTGTTGGGTGTAAAATGTATTACAGATGTTCCACATTTTTCCCCCATTGACCCCCTCCTTCCCACTCCCGCCCCCTCCCACCTTTTCCCACACTATTGTCTGTGTCCATTGGTTATGCATATAAGTTCTTTGGTTTATTTCTTCCCACCCCTCCAACCCCTTTCCCTTTGAGGTTTGTCAGTCTAGCAATGAATTTGTACTTCTTAATCTCTTCACCTTTTTCACCCATTCCCCCAAACCCCCTCCCAACTGGCAACCAACAAAATGTTCTCTGTATCTATGAGAGTGTTTTGTTCTACCTGTTTATTTTGTTTGTAGATTCCATTGTTGAGAGATATGTATTCATTGTCATTTTGTTTGTTCATATATTTTATCTTTTTCTTCAAAAAGACCCTTCATCATTTCATATAATAACGGTTTGGTGGTGATGAACTCCTTTAACTTTTTCTTGTCTGGGAAAGTTTTTATATGGCCATTGATTCTAAATGACAGCTTTGCAGGTTAGAGTAATTTTGGTTGTAGGTTCTTGCTTTTCATCACTCTGAATATTTCTTGCCACTCCCTTCTGGCCTGCAAAATTTCTCTTGAGAAATCAGCTGACAGCCTTGTGGGAACTCCCTTGTAGGTAACTAGCTGCCTTTCTCTTGCTGCTTTTAAGATTCTCTCTTTGTCTTGAACCTTTTGCATTTTGATGATGTGTCTTGGTGTGGGCCTCTTGGGGTTCATCTTGTTTGGGACTCTCTGTGCTTCCTGGACTTGTATGTCTCTTTCCTTCACCAAGTTAGGAAAGTTTTCTGCCATTATTGTTTCAAACAGGTTTTCGATTTCTTGTTCTCTCTCTTCTCCTTCTGGCACCCCCAAGATGCGAATGTTGGCACGCTTGAAGTTGTCCCAGAGGCTCCTTACACTATCCTCATTTTTTGGATTCTTTTTTCTTTTTGCTGTTCTGATTGGGCATTTTTTGCTTCCTTATATTCCAAATCGAGGTTTGCTCCTTGGATTTACGTTCTCTATTATTGAAGCTGTGTAAATTCTTTATTTCAGTTAATGCCTCCTTCAATTCTGACTGTGCATCTATGATTTCTGACTGGTCCTTTTTTATGCTCTTGAGGCCCTCACTAAGTTCACTGAGGTTCTCACTAAGTTCATTGAGCATCCTTATAAGCAGTAGTTTGAACTCAGCATCTGTTAGCTTGCTTATCTCCATTTCGCTTAGTTCTTTTCCTAGGGTTTTGTTCTGTTCTTTCATTTGGGATGTTTCTTTTTCTCCTCCTTTTGGCTGCCTCCCTGTGTTTGTTTCTGTGTATTACTTAATGAGAGGTATGGGGCTCGCTGAGACCAGATGCTGCTTGTTTGAAAGAATTTAGGAAAAGCTGAAGCAGGATCCAAGACAGGCCAATCCTATGGTTAAGCAAGTGCCAACAGCTTGGGTGGGCCTGAAAGTTGGGTGGGGCGGGGCCTCAGGGAGTCAGCAGGGCGGGGCTTCCAGTGTGAGCCAGGTTGCTGGAGTCCCAGATATGGCGGCTGTCTGCCGCCCCAGGGAAGGGCTCACCAAAGGAACAAAGGCCTCTGACAGCACGTTTGTCCCGGAGAAAGCCCCCTCTCCAGCCCTCACTCCAGTGCCAAACAGCTCAGTTCTTCCCTGTATGTCTCTGGTGGCCCTCGAGCTGCCTCCCCTCCAAGCTTAGAGGAAGAGAGTCCGGTAAGTCCGTGCGCGGGCCCTTTAAGGAGCTGCCTAGGGCTCCAGCCGCGTCAGCTTCCCTGAGCCTCAGTTCCCGCCGGTTTTTCCAGCCAGAAGTTATGGGGACTCTCTTCCTGGCACTGGAACCCTGAGCGGGGCACCTGGTGTGGGACGGGGACCCCTCAGTCCTCAGGAAGGACCTTCCCAGCCGAGGTGTCCTCCTGATTTTTATCCGCCACACTTGGGTGTGGGACCAGCCTGTCGCTCCGCCGCCGCCGCGCCGCCTCCGCGCCCCCCCCCCCCCCTCGTGCCTCCGCCCCTCCTACCAGTCTGGATGTGGCTGCTGCTTTAATTCCGTAGTTGTAGGACTTCCATTCAGTTTGATTTCAGGCGGTTTTGAATGATGGTTGTTCTGTAGTTTAGTTGTAACTTTGAGGTGGTTGTGGGAGGAAGCGATACCGCGTTTACCTACTCGCCATCTTGACCGGAAGT